AGTAGAGTAGATATTGCCAGTAAACTGCAATCAACGCATTTCATTTGTTGATATTCGGCTGAGACCGCAAACAACGAAACATCGCTTCATGTATTTGTATACGCTCTGCCGACCGCCTATTCACAAATCTGCAGGGACGGTCCTGCCATCTATAGCCCGATCTCACCACGATTACTTCTTTACGTGATCTTTGCCTACAACATGGCCATCTAAGAAACAATGCAGATGGCGCTGTACAAGTTTGCCAATTGAAGGAGCTGGGCAACAACGCTCAATGCAGGGTTACCAAATATGACCAACAAAGAAAACCTCAACCTGACTGTCTTCCTCCAGCATGCCCAAGAAGACAACTAGGCTGCCTACGCATCAAGAATCTGCAGACGACCGACAGCCGCCATGACAATCTTCGACACTTTAAGGAATAACAGCCCTGTGACTGTGTTTCGGAGTAGACACTGATACGCTGAAGTGGACTAAGTGGAAAACTTTTTCGGCAGAACTTCGAACCATAAAAGCTGCTTCAACGTGTTGGTGCCCTGGCCTACGAGGTTATATCGTACGGCATTACAAAGTGTCAGCGGCGCCTTGTGTGACCTGAAGTCGTCCATGTCGTGTGCCTCAAACTGTTTCATCCATATTGACAAACCTGAGGACTGTAATTATTGCCTTATTGTATCACTTTCATGCTTGTATCAATTATTTGCTGTGCTTTTTTGCTTTGCTGTTATACTTGCCTGTTCTGTTAAAGCATCGGGATGATGCCTTTGCTAAGGGGGGCGATGCCACACATGCCCCTTTCTTTCTATGTATTATATCACTGACCTACTGCATGTGTAGATTATGCCTTACAGGAACGGCGCCAGAATGTCTGAAAGCATTCCAGGTTATTTTGGGATCATTTCTCAGGCTTGAGCACACAAATGCGAAAAGCGGAGTCAATTCTCGAATGAATGTGCCCACTATTGACAATGCTCGATTGTTTGCTGCCACATGTATAAATGCTGATGCACCTTGCTGCAAACAGTTTATCAACTGCGGACACTCTGTTTGCCAATATTATTGTGGAGCGTTTATTGCTTGCTGTAGTTTGAGCATTCGTTTTCCCGGCCAGAAGTTCGGTCAAATAAGGAGCTTCATTTTTGATGCGCTGTCACTTTCTTCGTCAACATCATAACCACGTGACAATTATGCTGTTGTAAAATAGTCTTTCTATTACAGGCAAACTATAATCCGATTGTTTCTGACAATTATGAGCAAATATTTTTTTCTACACTGTACAATCGCTGCTAGGAATAGGTAGCTTTCATTATTTAAAAAAAAACTCAGCGTGTGCCTTGTGATAGGTGCTACATTTCAGTCTTGTCGAGATTACTGTAATGATGTTGAAAATTTTATGCTCCATAGCACCTGCAATACTATCTTTTAGATGCGCAACGTCTTATGGTCAAGCTGAATCCGGTATGTGGCGTGACCACCCTTACAGCGTGTGCCCCCCTCCACCCCACTCTCTTCTCTTCTACGCTTCCTCCTTCCTTGCCTCGCGATCCTGATGCAGGCAGTGTCTACTAGCAAGTTTCTTGACTGAAAAAACTGACTGCTTGCGCTGCACAACTGTTTACTGGCCACCCTGTATATATAGGCACTGGATCTTGACCTCCAAGGTAGGGCTATTTGTAGATTTCTCCTGTGCGTTGTTGAACTATGAAAATTCACGTGTTGTGCATTAACTAAAAGCAGACTGCGGGTCTCTGTGTCCCAGTACAGTTTTCTGTCTCTCATTGCCCATTAGCAGCGATTGGCATGTTCCAGTAGGAAATACCGGTCTATCACTCCTTGCTTTGTGCCTCCCCAGGTTTCTCTCCTATGAGATGCTGCGATGAGTGCCAGCATCAACGTCACCGCCAGTGTAAGCGTTAGTGCCTTCTGCTTTGCATCTACACATGGTTCCCTTTAGCAGGAGATGGTGTAATTTTTTGTGGGTAAAGTTGGCACACAGCCACTTCATGTGATTAAAGACACAAATTTCAGAAAAAAAAGCTATAGTAACTGTCCTTTACAGCACAATGAAAGTTTGTGATTGCACTTCTTTTAGCCACAAACCCTTCACAAATTTACTGATGGCTGCAAGCAACTCGAGCATTTGGCAACACTCTCGCAGCTTTCATTTATTCATCTCTCCTGATCCACTACCGTGCCTTTGTGGTAGTCATGCAGAATGTTTGAGTTCAATTCCAGCTCAACTGCTACATTTTTATTCGTCGCATTTGCCAGCATGTTTTTCTCATGGAGAATGACACTTTCTGCTGCAGCTGATCCTTGAGATTATCTTGTTAGAACAGCTTTAAGCTCATCTGAAGTTGTTCTGCCATTGGATCAGAACTCAAGTGGTCTGATGTTAAGCACTCGTAAAGTGTGTACTCTACTAGTGTGGTAATGGTTATCAAATTCCACTTGAGTGTAGGATATTAATATGTGAGACAGAGCACTGGATGTCTCATTGTTTAATCAATTGGACATTGAAGAAGTCTGTTTGATCACATTTAGCATAGCACTTATACTCATGTGGCTACTTAGCATTGCTCGTAGCTCACCCCGCCGCGAAGGTCTAGTGACTAAGGTACTCGGCTGCTGACCCGCAGGTCGCGGGTTTGTATCCCGGCTGCGGCGGCTGCATTTCTGATGGAGGCGGAAATGTTGTAACTAGGCCCATGTGCTCAGATTTGGGCGCACGTTAAAGAACCCCAGGTGGTCTAAATTTCCAGAGCCCTCCATTATGGCGTCTTTGATAATCGTAAAGTGGTTTTGGGACGTTAAACCCCACATATCAATTGCTTGTAGCTGTGAAGAGAAACGCCAAACAAAGCTTTCTGCACTGAAGGCATTGCGTCAGACAACTATAATATCACATAAGTTATATGAATATAACAACATGCTTCACCCGTTTTGGTGTTTCTCTTCATATGTGTAGTGTGAACCGGAACATACGTCGGACCAGAAATAGGTCGACTCCCCCCCCCCCTAAATTTGAATCTCCGAAAAAGAAAATTTCTAATAATCGCAAAGTATCGCGGCGCACCCTTACTTTGATAAATACGCTACACAACCAGCTGCACTGTGGCAACATTTCTTTTTATTTCGACACTAATCTGAAACACCAGAAGGCCACAAAGTGCTGTCACTTGGACTCGTCCAAACTTCAGTCTGACCACGTCTGTTTCTCACTAGTTACGTCTCAGAATGCATCATTCCCCGTTTCATGTAATGCGTTGCTGATGTAGCATTTGCGGAAAGCTTTGAGCACCATTTTTTCGAGGAGAGATTTTGAAGTTGACGACACACAGCCACCAACGGTTGCAAGCGGTGGACGTCGTAGGCGACGAGCGGGTGTCTTGGGATTGTCGCCCAGCATCGACTCATTGTAGAGCTCGTGCACACAATATTTGAAGGGTTTATTGAGCACTACGTCCAGTGGCTGGAGGATTACTGTTAGTCCGCTAGAGACTACGACGAGGTCCGTCTTGCCACCGGACAGAACTTGCTTCACATCAGCCGTGAGGTGGCCTCGAAATGAGACGAGCACCAAGATTCTCGGTCGCTGAAAAAGCGGACCCGGTCATCAATTCCACGCGAGTCGAATCCTCTCAGGCATGAGAGACTCATTCGTGAACCCTTTTTCGTTCGCTCTCACTATAACATCCTGAAGAAAGTCCTTTGGTAGCCTTTTTCTCCTGAAAATGATATAAGGGGGCAGCTTTTTGTACTCGCTGTGCACACGAACCTCACTGTAAATTGTGAATGCTCATAGCCCGTTGTCAAGAGCTTCACTTGCTTGGATCCTTTAGCAGTCACAGTCCAGTTCGAAAGCGTATCGAACCAGATTTTAGTTTTGTCAGCGTTGCCCATGTGTCCCATCATGTAGCAATGCTGTCGATGAAGCCCGATGACGAAGCACTGATACTCGACCAGCTTGTTATCCAAATCTTGGGCCAGTTTTTGGCTCACAGAAGTACATTGCCTCAGCGCAAAGCCCTTCTGCTTCATAAATCGGTGCACCGAGGATGGCGAGCTTTTGCATTTGCGCTCTCGTGAGCCCAGAGTCATAGCCATCGTGAAAGCTTTCATGCGAATGCACTCCGCTGTCATGGGTAGCGACCTTGCGTGCAGCTCCTGGACGAATTCAGCAAGTAGCAATTCTAGTTCGGGATGCACTGTAGTCCTTTCACAAAATGACGTTTTTTTTTTTGGTCGCTGCAGGATGTGATGCGCTGCTTTTGGCTCCTCCAGTATCAGATGCTTTTCTTCGATGCACCGAATTCCCGTTGTGCCGCCAGGTTAGCGAGAGCTTCGGCATACACGATAACTTTTTTCGTAAAGCCTACTGTAAACTGACGTCGACTACCACTCATTGCTCAAGGTAATGGAAAAAAAAAAAACAGCAGGCTGACAAAGATAACCGAACCAAAATGGCGTTGCTAGTACACTGTAGGCCTTGCCTAGCCTTGCCCGACGGCGCCACTGCTTATGCTCACGATGGCAATGGAGGCTTTTGACTTCAGCTGCCCATTTCTGTGAGACTTCCACATTTTTTCTGCCAATTACTGGTATACTATAAGACTAGGGTCTACTTATCACCATGTTTTTTGGAGAAAAAATTGACCTATGTTTCAGTTTTTAAAGTAATTAGGGGTTCCTGTGTGTGACAGTCGCTGTACCTATACAGATAAGCTGTCCATTGGTGAGAGTGATTGCTCTGTTCTCTATCACACTGCAACAGTTATAATGCTTTTCAGACCCTGTACTTGTGGGGCTGATACTCTGGCTGTGCAATGTATTTTTTATTGATATGTAAAATCCTTTCTTAACTGATTTCACAGTTTGTATGTATAGATACGCTTTTATTTGTGCAGTCTAGGAGGCATGGATGTATGCATGGATGAATGTTTGTGAAGCCTTGATGATGTTGTACCCTTTGTTGGTGCATGGACCTCCTTGCTTGTTAGACTGTTGGCACGCATCCTCCCAGCCCCAAGAGCTTCCGTTCAGCCAGCCCACTCGGCTCTTTGAAAAACCAGGTCTGTTGTCGATCTTTAGTCTTTTCATGCCTTTGACACATTGTCTCTAGTGGCTATACAGTATTAGAAGATTTAATAAAAAGACACTAAAGGCAAATGTTAAGTCAATGTTTATTCTTGAAATAGTGGTCCAGAAACTTTGTAGTGTTGCTTTTGTGCCAAGAAAGTGCTTATTTTAGAATAAAATAACGTTTTGATGAACTGCATCACGATAGCACACTTTAAACCACCCGCATGAAAGCAGTCTTTTAGACGTCACTGTTTTTGCGCCAATGTTGCCTGCCTTTACTACACGGCTGCAGACACCAGTAGTAGCGGAGCAAAACTAGCAAGTGCCACATTAGCAACAACAGTCATTGAACAATTTTCTGCAATCTCGGAGGCTGTGGCTCTGCCACGGTCAGTCTGGAGGCACGCGCTCGCTTCCTTTATGGCCTGCGCACGAGGGCCTATCTCTGCCTACTGCCGCAATCTTGGGGGGTGCTCAGAGACAACTCACCGCCGGTCATTGCAGAGGCTTGCGCGTGCAGGGAATGCTCGGGTTCCTACCTGCTATTGCACTTGATGGTACTAATGCGATGGAAACATGGTAGTAAGCATATATTACAATTCCGGTCTCTGGAGAGCATCAATGCGATCATAGCAAAGCATTTTTTTTTTGTAACTTCAAGAAATGAGTAAAATTATGAATATTTCATTTTGCGCTCATATACCTTCGTGCCTCCCGTGCAGGAGGCTCGGCTACATGATCCGTTAGCGACCGGCAGAAGAAATGACAAAAAACTTACTCTTTTCTTTTTTTAGAAAATATCACTGAAATGTGTCAAGGGCTTGCGCGTTGTTTGCATGCGTTTACTGAACTTCTGTCGGCTTCTCCTTCTGAAGATTCCAAAACGGCATGCTCGGGGTCATGTGGCTCTGTTTTTTCTTTGGTTGGCTTGCTTGAAAGAGCAGAGTTTCGAGCTGTTGATTATTTGGGTGGTTTCTTTAGAGGGGGCACAAAGTTCGACGGGTATCCTGGAAATGCTATATTGGCACCGCACCGGGAGTAAATTTTTTTAAAATTTTGCGTTCGCTGACATAGTCACTCACAAGAAAATGACGGTGGAGGAAGACTTATCATTGATCACGAGATTTTCCTGGGAAATGTTTTTTTGCCACTTCGCGCATAGTTCCTCATCAGCAGAGAATTGGTGTAATGACCCGCCGGCACTCTTTCCAGCCTGCGAATTGCAAAATGGCACACAACAGTACACCAAGCACACATAAAAGTCACTTCGTAGAAGCATGCATGCAAGAACACAAAAAAAACACGCCTGGCGACTCACTGCAACACGTATTTAAGTGCGGTTCATATGACAAGAAACTACTTGCACGAATGACACAACCGGTCCGCAATCCCAGGCTTCATGAGTAATGAATGTGAAATTGACCAACAGACTAGTTGAGGCCTCTTTACTCCTTGGTGACGTTATCGCATTATGACGCGCACTGAGGACACATCTTCAAAAATGCACATTGCCGCGCACTCATTATTTCATTTCATTTCATTTTATTACCTTAAAGGTCCCCAGGGAGACATTACATAAGGGGTGGGGTTACAAAACGTACAAAAAAGCCATGAATTAGCTTGAAAAATGGCTTGTGACGCTATGCATAAATGTTGATGGACAGGTGATTGCTGCAATATGGTGGGGGAGGTCATTCCAGTCTTTTGCTGCACGAAGAAAAAATGAGGCAGCAAAAGTAACGGTGCGGGAACGTTGACGGGCAACTTGAAAGACATGGCCAATGCGATATGTCCTGCGAAATGGGGGGGAAATGTAAGGTTCGATTGCAAGTGGACTGTGAAAAAGTTTATGAAACAAGCAAAGGGTGGCAATGCGGCGGCGGGAAGATAGAGGGGACAGGCCAATTTCTTCTTTTAAAGATGACACGCTAATGTGATAGGCATATGAGGAATGAATGAATCTAGTAGCACGGTTTTGAAGTGATTCGAGTACAGTAATGAGATACGCGTGTTGTGGGCTCCAAATTGACGATGCATATTCAAGCTTGCTTCTTACGAGGGACTGATATGCTAATAATTTTACATGGCGGGGTGTGTTGCGCAGATGACGTTTTAGGAAGCCGAGAGTACGATTAGCAGCTGCGATGATAGTCCGGATGGGCTCAGCCCAAGTTAGGTCACTGCACAAAGTTAGGCCAAGGTATTTGTAGGATTGCACAAGTTGAACAGGAGTGTTAGAGATTACGTAGGAAGTGGTGAGCAAGTTATGGCGACGCTGAAACGACACAAGTTTACATTTGTTAGGATTAAGTTCCATTTGCCACCGTTCACACCAATGCTGCACTTGATTAATGTCACTTTGGAGGCTAATTTGATCAGATGCATTCGTTACTGTGCGGTACAAAACGCAGTCATCAGCAAACATGCGTATGTTACAAGTTAAGTTCGTTGGTAGGTCGTTAATATATATTAGAAATAACAAGGGGCCAAGGACGGAACGCTGAGGGACACCTGATGTAACTGGAATAAAGTTGGAGAGCTGATCATTTACAAGGACAGATTGGGAACGGTTATGTAAGAATTCTTGGATCCAGATTAAGACTGCGGGGTGTAAGTTTAAGTGGGAAAGTTTCAGTAACAGGCGTTTATGAGGTACCTTATTAAATGCTTTGGCGAAATCTAGAAATATGGCGTCGGTTTGAAGGTTATTATCGAGATTGGAATAAAGGTCATGAACAAAAAGTGCTAGTTGAGTTTCGCATGAAAACCCTTTTCGGAAGCCATGTTGTGCAGAATGAAAAAAATTAACCTTGTCAAGAAAACTGATAATGTGAGTGAATATGACGTGTTCCATGATTTTGCAAGGCACTGAAGTTAATGAGATGGGACGATAATTTAGAGGCGAGTTTTTGTTACCAGCTTTGAAGACTGGAATGACCTTCCCTTTTTTCCAATCGTCGGGCAGTTGGCCTGTGGCAAGTGACTGCGAAAACAATAAACATAAATATTCGGCACAGACATCTACAGTGTTTTTAAGGAACTTGGAGTTAATATTGTCTACACCCGCGGAGGACGACAGCTTTAGGTTGTTAATTATAGATATTATACCAGACACGGAAAATGTGATGGGTGGCATCAAGAGTTCGATAGTGGAAGTCTGCATGTAAAATGAAAGGTCTGTTTCTTTTGTGAACACTGATCCAAATGCGCTATTAAAGATGTTTGCACAATCAACGTCACTTACAGGTCTGCCGGCATCGTCGGTGAAGTTAGTAGACTGCGTGGGGTGAGGGTTGATTATTTCAAAAAAGTTGCGTGGATCACGTTTTAGAATGGTCGGCAAGTTATAGTTATAGAAAGAGTGTTTTGCTTCGCATACCGTGCATTGCGAATCCATTCGTTCATGCTGTCTCTCCAGAAAGCGCCGACAAAGCAGCTCTAAAGTAGTGTGGTGACGCTCGGAGAGGACAATGTAGAGATGCCTTAACTAGTCTATAGAGTGTTGACTTGACACGAGGTCTAAGGAAGTCCCACAAACAGAGGGCCATTCAGATAATACAGAGATTTATTTCCGGGAATCGTCAGAGGTTTACCCCCGAATGCAGAGATATTACTTGACACGCACCTTCGACTTGACTTGAGTAAGTCGGCGCGAAAAAAAGCAGCGGACTTGAAAACGCTCAAGTCAGCCTTCGCGTTTCATAGATGCTTAGGCCGTCTTGCTTGGTCAAGTCAAGAACGAGCTTCAGTGCAGAAACGCGTTGCTCACCTGGTAACGAGGTTGATAATGAAGTTGTTTGTGTAAAACACGTCTTACAGCAAAAAAAAATCGTACAATTCAAAATAACTATAAGAACGAATTGTCACAAGCATATATTTGTCATTTTACGACTAACGAGTGGCAGGGGGGTTCTTCGCCGCAGCAATGAGCAGTGTTACTTTTCTAAAGCTCCTGTTGCCCGCTGGTTTTAGTACCCACTCAAGTGTGGCACGTTTCTCTATTGTTTGTTCGGAGGCGAAAGAAGCATTGCGTTAGACGCAGATGCTTTCGTCGATCCTTTTTTTTTTTGCAATCGAACGCCACGGCGTGTATTTGTGAGGTGGCCAGGTGGCCATTCGTGAGGTGGCCATGTTGGAATGACGCATGAAGTCGCTTTTAAGCTAGCCCCGCAGCTGACTTGAAACATGTCCCGACTTCGACCGAGCCAAGTCCGCTTTAAGTCGTCCGCAAGTTAGAGACCGATTTATGGCAAGTGGCAAGGCTGTCTTGAGTCAAGAACGAGTTAAGTACGAGTCAAGTAACATGTCTGCATTCAGGGGTTAAAGGTGTCCACACTTGCATTCTGTTGCACCCCCAGCTGCACCCATGTCGAATACGAAAAAGGTAAGGAGCTTTTCTGGCCATGTCACTAAAGCTTTGTACACACGCAGCAGCGCCGATGTGTTCAGCCACTACAATGTGGCCGATCATGTCATCGTTATGGCGACCGAACATAGACAACCATGCGATTAAGTGGTTTATCATCCGAAAAAGACAATATGATTATGAAGGACGCTGTGGTGGAAGGCTCCGGGAATCGCAACTATCTGGGTTTTTTTAAGGTGCACCTAAATGATATATCTAAGCACTCGAGCTTCAAGCATTTTGGAATTCAGCGAGTATAAGGTGTTAACCTTATAAATGAGATTTTTGTAGCGTTGCGTGTGAGTGCTGCCCACTGCATAAGTGCTGACAAGGCTAGAGTGTCCCCACACGCATCTATATTACTCTCACCGCTTTCTACAAGTGAAAGACGTAATCGGCTGGAGAAAGTGGCCGGGAACAGCTGATTTACAATGCAATGAGTATGCGGCGAAACCCGTTTTGATTAGTTGGCTTGCGACGCCCTCATGCAGAGCGTGCCATCGTCACTGTATAGGAACAGCTCCTTTGAACTCACGGTGGCTGCTTATGCCGTAAAAGGAAGGAGCGAGCACGCGCCTCTAGATG